AGAAAGGGCTGTAAAAGCACTATGAAGCAGTATATAAGTCTAAGTGGTTTACAGAGTCAGCATATTGCCCCCAACAATCTGGGTCCTGATGGAATGGAATACCAGGTTTGCATTAAAATAGCAGAAGCACTTAGACTTATATACTACTTCATAGTGCTTTTACAGCCCTTTCTAAGCTGTTTATAGAATCAGCACATTGCCCTCAACAATCTGGCTCTTCATTTTACCAACCTTGGAAAGATGGAAGGCTGAGTTAACCTTGAGCCTGGTGAGATTCGATCTGCCAAACTTCTGCCAGCTGGTGATCAGCAGACATAGCCTGCAGTACTGCACTCTAACCACTGCGCCATCTCGGCTCTTAAAAGGCAGTGTTTAACAGGAAATATTTGCTTTTTCAACATCAGATGAAGACAAAATCTATTTTGCAGGCTGAAAATATATTTGCATGATTCCCCATAACCTGGTTAATCCTATATAAGCGTATAAAATATATACAAATCTGGACATAAGAAGTGATAGGATAGAACTAACTGAAACCTAACAAGGGTTCATTATTAACAGAACTCAGAACAAACAGAAAAGGTTAAATTTGAAATGATTTGGGATGCGCCTTAGAACGAGAAAAAAGGAACTTGAGGGTTGATTCGGAGGAGAGAAAATGCAGGTGGCAGCCAAAGAAAAAGGCAGCTCTGCAAAGGGCGAGAGGCAGGATAGCCGGGGGGGTGGGGGGTGATTGTCATCACAAGAATACAGATTACCTGGTACAAAGAGAGATGGAAAATTGAAGCAATCATCCTGAATAACTTTAAATTCTGGATTTAATAGTCTAATAAGATTTGAAATGGGCATGTATATTACTTCTATGCCTCAAGGCTGATGCAGAGACCTTCTCAATGTTGCTAAATAGGATCTTGTACTCTTTTTCTGAAGTCCTTTCATGACATGTTGAACAAGAAAATGCATTAAAAGGCAAAACTATGTACCTACATGTTTTACAAACATGGGAACAGGCAATAGCCAGTTTAGTTTGTTTTACATAAGATAAAAACTTGCATTAAGAAAACATGGTACCTAACCAATTTTACAAAATATACATATACAGAATAATAGAGTTGGAATAGAGCCTGGAGGTCTTCTAGTCCAACCCCCTTCTCAAGCTTACTGATTGTGAAATGTTAGTAGGTTTAGACCTGGTTAGTATTGAATAGGAGAGCTAAAGAGAAAAGCAGGGCTAGTGGTTGGTCTGAGAAGGTGGGAAGATACTTTTCTAACCTTGTTTTTTTCCCCTCCCTGAGTGGAAAGTTAAAATGAATTAAGTGTTAATACCACTTTATAATGCCTTGGTAAGGCCACACTTGGAATACTGCATTCAG